CATGGAGGTTAAGGTGGCTGGATCCCACATGACTGACTGCATGGTTCAAGTCCTGGACCTGGAGACTTGAAAAATCACACCAGGAGTATGGGCACATGTGCCCAAAATCCCAAGAGGATAATAGAGAAGGGATCTGCAGCATTGCCATTCCCCTGGGGAATGATTTCTCTCTCTTGTGTCTCTCGCGAGTGAGTGCATGTGTCTCTCAACAGTGAGTGCAGGTGCCCTATAGCAAATTAAAATAAATAAATAAATAAATAAAGTAAAAGAAATAAAGACTTTCCCACATATTTAAAAACATAAAATTAAAAAAGAACACAAAGAGGTTCTTTTATGGTTCATAAGCATTATGACTGGATTTTTGTGCTACTGTATGAGATGTGCCTCCCTCAGATCTTGTTATGACATCAGCAATTCTGTCAATTCATTCCAAATTGATGAAGTTTCTTTTTATTGTTGTTTAGTTTTTTTGCTATAGGATATGTGTGTTCGCCAGAGAGAGAGAGAAAAATCACCCCCCTACACCCCCACCCCGGAGGGGATAGCCAAGTCACAATCCCTTCGCCTCCATTCTTCTCTCAGGATTTTGGGGATGCACTTACATGCACCCAGCGTGATTTTCTTTTCTTTCTTTCTTTGGAGAGCTTTTTTGCTATAGGGCGCATACGCTTGCCAGGAAGACAGAAAGAGACAGAGACAGAAAGCGAGAAATCACCCCCCAGGGGGGATGGTCACGCCGCAATCCCTTCTTCTCCTTTCTTCTCTCGGGATCTTGGGCACGCACACACACGTGCCAGCATGAGTTTGTCACTGGGTCCGGGACTCAAACCGTAGTCGACTACATGGGAGTCCAGCGACATAGCCATTACGTGAACTGCTGGTCCCCACTCAGCGTGATCTTCAAGTTGTTGGGTCCAGGACTGAAACTGAGTAGTCGGCCATGTGGGATTCTGCACCTTACCCTTCATGCCACCTGCGGGCCCGATAAACACTTTCAATGACATTTCAATAAACATCCTGTAAGGCTATTTGGTAAAAACTAAGAAGCTAATCATAAAATTTATATGAAAATGAAAAGGACCTAGAATCTCAAAGCAACTTTGAAAGAGAAGAAAGCTGGAGCACTTACATGATCTAACTTCAATATTTATGATAAAGCTATAATAATGAAAATAGTGTAATACTTATATAAAGCCAAATGGTCAATAAACAAAACATTACCTTGAAATAGACCCACAAATACACAGTAAGTTGATCAAAAGTGCTAAGGTTATTCAGTGGGAAAAGGATAACCATTTCTATAAGTGGTAGCAAAACATCTGGTTATCTTAACCTCTCAGTAAATAACATACAAAAATAACTCCAGATAGATCACGGACCTGAGCATAAGAGCTAAAACTGTAACAGTTCTTCTTTTTAATAATTTAATATTTTATTTAACTTTATTTTATATATTTATTTATTTTAATTTGATCAGAGAGGGACAGAGAGAAAGAGAGTGAGGGAAAGTGAGAAAGCAAGCCTCTAGGTCTGAGACTAGAACTGTGGTCGGCTATGTGAGAGCTCAAAGCTCTCAACCACCATGCCACCTGCTGGTCCCAATACCATGTATTTTTTTTAAAGAATTATTTTTATTTTAACTTTATTTGTTGTTATTATTTTTTGAGGGAAAGTGAGAAAACAAGCCACCAGGTCCTGGACATGAACCCTGGTTGGCCATGTAGGAGTCCAGTAGTCCAGTGCCTCCAACCATCACACCATCTGCTGGCCCCATTATTATTTTTTAAAAAATAATAAAGGGAGACCAGCAGTTAGCGTAATGGCTATGTCGCTGGACTCCCACATAGTCGACTGCGGTTCAAGTCCCGGACCCAGTGGCTTAAACTCACGCCAGGCGTGTGTGCGTGCGTGCCCAAGATCCCGAGAGGAAAATGGAGAAGGGATTGCGACGTGGCATACCCCCTGGGGGAGTGATTTCTCGCTTTCTGTCTCTCTGTCTCTCTCTCTCTGTCTGGCGAGCGCACGTGCCCTATAGCAAAAACCTCTCAAAAAATAAAGTAAAAATAAATAATTCTCTCTCTCTTTTTTTAAAAAAAAAAAAAAAAACA